ATTTCCTAATATGTAATAAAAATGTATCTGATATAGTTAGCATTATGCAATATATCATTACATTTTAATTTTGACAGTAAATAGAAAATGAGAAAGTAAAATGATTTCATACTTGCATTACATCAATTCTTTATGAAATATTTGTTTTGATCTTCAGAAATTTTTTAAGAAGTAATCTAAGTCACTCTTTAACTGAATCAAGGTTAAATGTCATTTTTTTAAAAAAATGAGTATAAAATTATTTATTTTATAATATTGGTACAATTGCCATGAGAAATATTTGACCTGTGTCTTGTAAGCCAAATAGTCTGCTGTAAACAGAGTAAGAAAAGGGTATTATACTATAGTCACACCGAAACATTACAGTGCATAAAATCATTTTCTTTCCCCCAGTCTAACATGCCTAAAGCATAGACCATAAAAGTAGAATTTGAAATAATGTAAAAATTTGAAATATAAAGAACTCCAGATGAAAATTAAGTATGCAGTGCTCTCTTTGATAATATGTATTTTTGTATACCATATACACGCTACATAAACTGATGGAACTATCAATGGATAATTATAGAAAAGCACTAAATTAAATTAAAATTAATGATAAAATGCACAGTTGTCAAATGCAAGACTCAATGACATAAGATTCCTTTGGATATAGATGTTAGATAATTCTTTGATGGACTAATGTCCACCCACCTTCTTTAATTTTGTATTTACAAAAATACATATATTTGTATTTACAAGAAAGCAGAGAACTTTGGGGGGTCTGAAGAACTTTATCCAAAAGTGAAATAGTTAATTTGATAACAGTTTAATTACCTTTTAACAACTTTTTATTCCCTTTGAAAATCAATTAATTAAATGCCCCCTTCTAACATATAAATCAGTTCTTTTGTTGTTTTTAGTTCTTCTTTCTGTTTAAATTTTAGTCTTAAAATTAGTTATACTAAATATTTTGCCACCTCTTGGAAATATCTTAATTTGGAGCCACCTGAAAAGTGCTACAAGAGCATATTCCCAAATGAATTGGAAGCATATTTGTGGTTTGTTTTATTTTCATTAATTTGGAGTTGTGTGACTCTGGGAACAATCCATTGAGCTCTTGAAATTAAGTAGCTAGTTTTTGGCATTTCAAACAAGGACTGAACTATTCTCGCTCTCCCCCTTGCCCTACTGAAAAATAATCAAGAGAAAGGCTAAGACAAGAGAAGGAGGGAGGAAGGAGGGAGATGTAAGCAAAAAGGACAAGAGTCTGGAAAAATAAAACAGGGAAAGAAACTATACATACTTAATTTGAATAATTTGCTAACAACATAATAATAAGAATAGAATTAATGATATAGGGCAAGCAACTGGTATCTTCAATTGTCTTCTTAAGTTCTAACCTTTTCCACATTATGTGTGGATGTTTTCATTGCACATAGTTTGATTTTCTTACTGAGGCTGAGGGAACAGTGGTGAAGGACAGACCCGGATACACAGGACATTTACCCAAATTTCACACTTCACATGTGTAAAGGTGATAATCTCGCCTAAACAAAAGATGTGTTCCAAGTATATTTATGCTAACGTTCACTAACACATAACTTCAACCAACAGTTTAGCTGTAAATAATTTTGAATGCGAGCATACCAATTATCACATTTACATAGAATATATTTACTTTCTCTGAGATAATTTAAGTATTTACACTATATTCATATATAGATAAAAATAAGATTTTGCAATGTCTATTTGGAAATATATTTGTATGAGATTATGCAACATATCAAATGGAACAGCACAAAGAGTAAGCTTAGTTTGCATCCAAATTTTAATTGATGCCTGGAACATTACATATTGTTCACCAAAATGCTATGGAGAGAATTTGCAGGGTTCCTTAATCCAATCATATACCGCTGATATACCCAATTTAATTATTTACTCGGTGAACAACCTGAAACGCCAAAAATCAAATACTCAAAACCACACAACTCGTGTTCTATTGTATATGTTAATGTATTGGCTGGACACAATGAATAAGGAGAAAGAATTCAGTTTTTTAATTCTACACAGTTTCATAACTCTACATGTTAAAAATTTTCAAGTTTATTAGAGCAGGAGTGAATTTACTCTTATCCCCTTCATACAATTGGGAAAAAGATAATTTAAAAATTAGAAGTAACCTCTTTTCATAAATCATATGATTGTTATTTTTGAAATTAAAAAAAAAAGGCTGGACACCTTAGGAAGAGTAGAAGTACAAATGAACTACCTAAAGAAGTATTTGTGACAAGATTATGGACGATGGCGCTGGTTTGAATTAATAACATTATTTTGTGAATCTTTGAAAAATGCATCAACAAACTTTCTTTGGAAGCTACTTACATCATTCAGAACTACATCTTGAGTTTCATGTAATTCTTATCTCTCACTTTTTATGCATCAATTAAGAAATAAAACTTACAGTGAAGATTCCACTTTGTATTAATAGTTTATAATTTATACAATACTGTCATATCTACATATAATAATATTGAGGAAGTGATTTGGACATTGAAAAAATAAGTCCCACTGTGAAGAAAAATTAAGAACAACCCCAATTGTGAAGTCAAATGCTATAATTTATTTTTCTTTTCTAGTCCTGGATTAAATATGGAGGAGGTAGATGAAGAGTAAGGTACTGTTTTTTTGTTTGTTTGTTTTTTTTTCATGATATTATCATGGCATTATTAAGCTTGGTCCTTTCCCCTTTGAAAAAAATTTGGGAAAGGGAAGATGTTACACCAGAATGGGGATAGTTTACTTCACTTGACCGATGTAGCATTACTAATTTTTTTTTTTTAATTCCTCAGGGAAATTGTTACCACCTGTTCAATCTGAATTCAAGCAGTTACTGTCAATTTACTCATGGGTGAATGCTGCCTCTTTGTGGCAGAATGCCATGGAAAGTGTTCCTTAAACAGAAAGTTCATGAACAGCCCTTGATATTTTACACATTTCAGGTGAGATTCTGGGAAGATCCACTAATAGCGATTAAGCACATGGCTCTTTAAGTTTCAGATTCACTCAAACATTTCCTACTCGTAAATACTAATCTAAATTCATTGGCAAACCTTCCTCAGAGGTGAACAGCTTACACCCACCAACATTTCGAACATTTAGGATATATAGATCAACTTGAGATAAAGTACCCATCATAATCATTGAAGGTAGTTTTACACAAGTTAAAATTAGGAAAACCATGGGAATACGGGGAAATTAGGAAACTATGAGCATTGTAGACTGAATAAATAATACTGACATAACAAAATATATATCATTGGGAGAAAAATGAATAGGCAATATATTACTTACCACGGTCCATGTATTAGAAGAATACTTCAGTAAGGAAAGAAAGTATACAATTGAAGTTTCAGTAATAAAGACATTAATGCCACCTTTAGGAAAACATAATTCCCTGAATTTGCAAAGGAGAATTTTACATATATACATATATTCAAATTTGATAATTGGGGAAATTTTTTCATATTAGAAATAAAAGTTAGCTACTATGTCCTAATTGTTAATAATGGAGATTCAGTCAATCACACGTAACTACGTCTTTTGCACCTCAAGTAATCATTACTTCAGTCCCTCATATTTGACATAGTTATCAAGTGTTTATTCAGAAACTATTTAAAAAATTACATGTGCTGGGATACATATGAGACTGTAACAACAGTAGCCCCATCTTACAGAGATCCTGTTTGTGGTCATCATCATTGCTTGCTGCCCAGAGGGATAAAGACATCGTATAGAGATTTGTACAGTCCATCATTTGGTCTTCTGAGGTGCCAGTACTTGTGGATCTGTACAAATGCAACTGGGTTTGGTTAAACAATCAAAAATCGGCTACAATAGTAGTCAAATCAATACATCATTTTGGTTGACTAATAAAAATACTTTTAAATCTTCTCTAATAAAACCAGAAACTTGCACACGATTCTTACTCAAATGGCCCAATTAATTGCCCTATTTTTTTTTCCTTTATACATTGGGATACAATCCGTTATTATTTTTTTCTTTTTTTAAATGACAGATCCAATCGGGTGGGTTGCATTGGCTTTACGATTTTCCCATTAAGTTCTCCACATTTTTAGTGATTTAAAATGCCTTCCTGATATCACTCCTGTTTTGGAAATGCAGGTCCTAATATAGTGCGACACCTCTGTGAAAATCATAGGCTAAATAGTGAAGGAAAGAGAAATGCTAAATGTGTATATAAAAATAGGTGCTACAATAAAATATTTGTATATTTCATCAATAAGTTATTTTGACTAATCAATTATGGATCATATAGCTCTGTAATTTTAATGATTTGTCCACATCTATGGTGATCATTTTTCAGATCACAATACTTTTGTTTTTTAATTCAAATGTCCAGAATGCATACAAACACATCCTTTAAAAAGAAAGGAAAAGTAATGAGATAGGAGGGAGGAAGGCAGGGAGGCAGAGAAAGAGAGAAGAGGGGGAGGGGGAAGGACAGAGAGAGAACAAACTTTCTACTAAAGTTGGGGTGTGCTAATCTCTCCACAAAAGCCATTTAGACCCACCCATGGCTTAAAGGGGCGCGGGGAAGAAGAGGAGGGAAAGGGAACAAAAGAGGAAGAGTAGAATCTCTGCGCTGCCATCTTCCACCGTTCTTAATGGCACTTCCAACCACCACAAGAACAACCGCGACCGTTGGCAAGTCACTTGCGCAGCAAACGGCCCTCCGTAAACCCTTCTGCTCCCCTCCCCCACAAGAAGAGAAGAGAAGAGAAATCGATGTGCCCAGTTTACACAAATGTTTCCCCCACGTGTAAAAATTAAAAGGAAAGTGCACACCCTTTCAGTATCTTCCGCCCAAGCTGAGAATCTCGTGCCAAGGCACTTCACCCTAAACGTTGAAACAACACAATTAATCAAATGCGTTCACCGCGTGTGTAGGCTTGCTTGTTTGTTTTAAATGCAAAAGCTCCCAGGGAGTTTCTCTGCTTTTAGAACTGGCTAAATGTGGTCTGTTTTTCCAGCACTTCGAGGTAGTCCGGCTCAACGTTTAGTTTTGCTTTTAACTCCAGATACTCGTTCCGGTTGGGTTCTACAAAGACAGCACTGGGGGGGCTGTAGAGCACCGGTTCCCGCAGCCTGCTGTCCCCTGCCCCCGGGTGCAAATACTGATGGGGGCGTCTCAGGTCATAGTTTGGGGAGAAAGTGTAAGCAGCGGGGCTGCACGGGAATTTGGGATATTCCGGGAGGCTGTTGCCGGCGGGGGTGGTGGAGCAGTGTTTGTCTGGTTCTAAAATGCCCCTGTAAAAGCGGTCGGCGTCCTGCACCGGCGACAGTAGGTCCTCCCGGGGCTCGATGGTGCTGACGCTATAGGCGGGACTCCGCAAGTGGTGGCTTTCCCGCCTCTCCTCCTCCCCCGGCTGCAGCTGCAGAGGCGGCGGGGGCTGCTGCTGCGGCGGCGGCGGCGGCGGCGGCGGCGGCTGCTGCTGCAGGTGGTGGTTGCTGCTGTAGGTGACCTTGAGCTCGTGCAGGTCTTTGTAATCCTCCACGGAGTTGCCCTCTCGGGAGCGGTAGATGGGGTTTTTGCACATGTGGCCCAGTGGATGAGGGATGTACTCGTACACGTGGCCCGCGGGCGTCTTCACCTTGGGCAGCGCGGGCCCGCGGTGGTGCACGTGCGCGTGCGGGTGGCCTCCCGCGCCGCCGCCGCCGCCGTATACGCTGTACTGCATGTTGAAGGAGCTCACGTCGGAGTTGTTGGTGCTGGTGTGGTCGCTCTGGTTCTTCTTCCTGCGCTTCATAACCAGCACGAAGAGCCCGGCGGCCACGAAGACGGACATGATAAAAACCAGCAGCAGGCTGAGAATCAACACCGACAGGGGCACCGACGACGCACCTCCCCCCGCGCCCAAGCCCGCGGGGGCCCCAGTGCTGTTCGACCGGACCGCGGGAGTCACCGCGCTGGTCCTCGCCGGGACCTGGATGGAAGAGGGCGTGGGCGTGGAAACCACCACGTCAGAGTAGTCTGGACACAGCAGCTCCGACTTAATGGAGCGCATATCGGTCTCCGCAAACTTCTTGGGCGCTTTGCAGATGACCTCATCCACCAAGACACCCACTTTGAGCTGTTCGACCCACAGCTTCATGCCCACCACGTCGCAGGTACAATCCCAAGGGTTGTCATGCAGGTCGATTTGGATGAGTGACTTGAGTTGGTCCAGAACTCCACTCACGGGCAAGGAGGTGAAATGGTTACTCCTTAGGTTCAGCCTAAGAAGGGTCAGGCCTGAGAAGACGCCTGAGGGCATGGCCTGCAGGAGGTTGTTATTCAGAAATAGCAGCTGGAGGTTTGGGACCGGGTCGAAAGTCCCAGACTGAATCTCACGTATGAGATTGTACTGGAGGAAGAGATACTGCAGGCTTTGCAGGCCATAGAACAACTCCGGGCTCAGCCTCTCAATCCTGTTGCCATTTAGGTAGAGGCGCCTCAGGTTGGTGAGATCCCCGAAAGCGCGGTCCTGGATCATGGAGATTCGGTTGTTGCCCAGGTGTAGGAGGTCCAGCCCCGTAGCCTCCAGGAAGTCGCTCCTGCGCACAACCGCAATGTAGTTCTCCGTCAGATACATCTTCTTGGGGTTGTAGGGCTTGGGCTGCAGCTCCGCGATGCTCTCGATTTTGCGCTCCTGGCAGTTGACGTTGAGGCCCAGATCGGAGATTTGTAGGTTGCAAGTGCACGCGGTGGGACACTCCAAAGGCACCGGAGATTTGGTCTGGTAGGCGATGCTGGGGCCATAGTTGCTGTAGCCCAAGTCCTTGGAGGGCTGCCGAGAGGTGGGGCGCACTCTGGGCTTGTTGGGTTGGCGGGTCCCCTTAGGGGGCTTTAAGGGGGGTTTGTAAACAGCTGAGGAAGAAGTGGCCACGGAATTCACCGAGGCTGGGGTAGTGTGTAGATACCCCGTGGTGCTCAAAGGCGTCTGTGGCCTCATCTCATAATCTGAAATAAGTTTCCTTGGGCAAAGTTCCTGCTTGGACACCTCGTCCAAATCCCGGCCGTGTAAGCGGAAGGGGGTCTCACAAACCACATCCCCCACCAGGGCCGAGTAGGAGATACTGTCCAACCAATCCTTGAGAGAGATCAGCTCGCAGGAGCAATTCCAGGGGTTTTCTTCCAGCTGTAACTCCACAACTTTATCCATGTGCTGCAACAGCCCCACATAGGGCAGAAGTTTCAGCCGGTTCCCCCGCAGGTCCAAGTGCGTTAAGGGCACAAAACGGAAGAGGTTGTTGGGTAAACTGGACAAGAGATTGTCATTGAGGATAAGCACCTGCAATAAATGCAGTTTCCCAAAAGCATTGGGTTCAATGACACTGATGTAATTGTAATCGACCTGTAGGTACTCCAGGCTCTCCAGGCCGAGGAAGGTATCATCTCGCAGAAGTTCCAGTTTATTATTGTTCAGATGCAATCTCCTTAAACCCCGCAGCCCGTGGAAAGCCCCAGTCTCAATGTCCTGGATAACGTTGCTACCCAGATGCAAAATTGAAGCCCCGGTGTAATTGACAAACTCATTGGGATAGAGACGGTTCAAAAGGTTTCCAGACAACAGGAGGTGGTAGACTGGGAAACGGGGAGGGCTAATTTCAGAGAGGCTGATGATCCCCCGGTTTTCACAGCTCACAGTTAAAATGCCGTCCTTTTCCTCACAAGGACATGCATTGTCACAGATTTCCCCATAATAATCGATGGTTTCTGCACACGAAAGGACGAGAGATGTTAGAGCAAACGCTAGACTCTGCAGCATCCAGCTATGCATTTTTCTGTGAAGGTCCTGTTCCAAAGTTACTGGGGGGCAGCAAGTGTGCATTTTACCTCCTGCAAGGGAGAGAGGAGAAAAGGAAACAACATAATATGACAAAAATTTAAGGGATTGGGAAGAAAGTCTCTCTCTTCCCTACTACTATTTCTCTGAAATCCAGAAGGAGGGGATATGAATGACCCCCCCCCAGTGGAACACCGACATTCTCCAGACTTTATTATTATCTGATACTCATTTTGATTTAAAGGTTGATTTCATTTCCTAATGAGAACAACAGAAATATGCTGCCCTTTACAAGAGAAGGGCAGGTTAGATAAAGTCCCATTTTAGTGTTTTCCCTGCTCCCCCCTCTTTTCAAAACCAATCCATAAATATACATAAAATGGCTGTCAGTTCAGTTTCATGGTTCTAATTTAAGAGAAAAGAAACACCATTTTACAAGGTTCACCACCTCACCTATAGCAAACCCATCTGCCTTTCTTTCAGAACCTCCTCAGTTAACAGTTCACCGTGAAGGTCTCCCATTTTCACAGAAAAGCAAGGAGTCACAATACTTGGGCTATTTTAAACCGTCGCTGGAAATGCCAGGGTGGGAACCTAAAGAACACTTTTCAGAGGCAAAAAAGAGATGTAAGATAATGCATCAAAAGGACCCAGAGGAAGCTCTTAAATCACCAATTGTCTTCAGGAGCTTTGAGTGTGGAGAAAAAGGAGAGCGCGTTCCTTTGATGGTGGACTTCACTACCACGCTTTTAAGCACATCAGCGTCCTAATTGCATGCACGGTGCCACTTAGCAGCGCTTCTCTGAGAGCTCCCTGCGTCCACTTCTCCTCATTGATCATGTCAGCGACGCTACCAAACCGCATCTCTAAGCCACAGAAATAGTTCTGCACGAAGGATTACAAAGAACTCAGCGAAGGCATCCGCAATCCCGGAACACCTCCCGATACCCGGAGTTTAAAGAGGACGTTCCTGCCGCTTACCCGGAATCAGCTAAAAGTAAACCTAGGACCATCCTTACCTCCCGCTCCGCGTCCGTTTGCCACGGAATGTAACACTAACGCTCCTGGATTAGCAGGATTTGGACTCAACTAAGTACCTCGCCGGCATCGCCAGCATCTTTGGAGTTGTTTCTTACATTTAAGTGTCAGTGTTTTACTCCCCTTCCTTTTTTTCCTTTCTTTGTTTTTCCTTTTTCTTTTCTTCTCCCCCCACCCCCCCCAAGAGAAAAAGGCACTCGGGCTGATTAAAGGCGAAATAGAAAGGGAGGGAGAACAGCAAGTAACATAGGTCTGTGCTTTAATATCCGAATTTCATCTTCTCAAGGAATCGATCTGACCCCCTCCCCCTTTGATTTCTGGATTTCTTTTTGTCCTCTGAAAGGCTTCCTTGGACTTGCTACTTCGGGTCGACAGCGGTACTCAGAAGGGAAAGGACACAAATGGTCAGAGTGTGTGAGTGCGTGTTGTGTTGGCTGCGGCGGGGGGGGTTCGGAAGCGGGGAGAATTGGGTAAAAATGCTGGGCTCTGGGAACCCATGCCTCTTCTCCAGTCAACCTGGCCTTTGCCTCATCAGCACCGAAGTCTGATGTCGAATCACAACCAAAACTAAAGCCAAGACGTTTCTGAGTCACGGGTTCAAGCCTCGCTCCCCTGGCCGACTCCAACCCGCGTTATTAAGAGCCCCTGCATTCGCACGCTCATGTGCAAGTGTGCCTGAGAATCATTCACGTGTGGCCAACCCAGACGTGTCGAGACGAATCGGAATCACAGTGTATAAGCCTCACAAGTATCTCCAACCTCCCAACGCAACCGCAAACGCCTCCTAGCTTAAAAGCGGAAAAAACACCCCCTATGGAAAGCAAAACGTTTACCTTGAAAATTCAGTTCTCCACAGGATGAAATCTGCACATCCATTCAGCAGGGGTTGGGTCCCCTCCCCCTCCTTCCCTCGACTTCCCCGCCCCCCTTCACCTCCCTCCCTTTCAGACAGCCCATCGCAAATTGTGACCAGCCGGTATTAAACTCCAGCGTTTACAACTTTAATTCAGTTCTGGGTAGCCGGGGTCGAAGAGCTTCCTCTCACCCCACTCTCTTTCCCCTCCCCCTTGCCATCAAAGGAACCCAAAAATTTGAGAAAATAAAGTTGAATGAGCCGAGGAGGGCTGACATTCTGACTGGGAAACGCACCTCCGATGTAAATTCGCGGGTGCGTTGCACATTCTCAGATTATCTGATTTTTTTTTTTTTTTTTTGAGGACGGGGGCGGAGGAACTGTATTTGCCCCCAAAGAATTTAGACCTTACACCATCGCCCTGCACATCCCTGCATTACACAGAGTGGGGCTGCGTGGGCTGGAGCCCAGCACCCAGGCCCGACCCGTGGCTCTGGGCACAGCTGCTCCCACAGCGGCCCAGGCAGAAGCACCCGGAGTTCCAGGACGCCGCGAGGCTCCCTTCCCCCACTCCGCCCCAAAGCGGAAGGAAGGGAAAGGGAAGGAAGGAGGGGAAGGAGGAGAGGGAATGCTAGCCATCCCGCTGCCACACGAACACACACACACACACACACGAGCCTCTTTTGCAAAGTAAACGGTCGACTTACCCCGTTTCACATCTCCAGGGCCCACTCATCATAGCCGCCCCTATAAAAATACCTCTTTGGGGTGTGCATTGGGTTTCCGGAGCCCAGGCAGGGCAAGAAGGCGGCGAGCTGTGCGGTCCGAGCGGCGGGAGGAAAGAGGCGCCCGGACGCCGCCAGCCCGGTCGCCGCCACTGTGGTGGCGACCACAGGTTCCGGGCTCCTAAACGGCTCTCCCCGGCAATCTCCGCGGTAGTCGAAGCGGGCAGCGGGGTGGGGGGGAGGGGGAGAAGGGGGCGTTCGCGAGCGGCCGATGGGGAAGGGAGGAGGAGGGGGCGGCGGAGGACCGGCTGTAGAGGCGCCTGGCGGTAGGGGCCGGGAGCAGGAGCCGGGCGGGGCGGGGAGGGAGCTGTTGGAGGGGGGGAGGCGCGGAACCCGAGGGGGGGACGTGAAGGCTGTCAGGCACCGCCGGCCCCTCCAACGTGACGGTCAGCCCCGCCGAGCGATCGCTCCCGTTCACACTCACGCTCACTCTCACACTCGTTCCCACCGGCTCCACCGCGCGATCGCAGGGTCCCGGGCACCCAACGCGGCACTCCCCAGGCGGGTACTTACGGTTGCCATCTGCATAAGGGGCAACTTTCTCCAAGCCAGCAGCAGCCGCCGCCCCCTCCAGCCTCCGGCTCCACGAACCCTCGGGCCTGGGTTCGCGCTGGCCGCCCCTCCCCTCCCCCCTCAGCTCTCCTCTTCGCCGTCTTCACCACATTCCCCCCTGGTCAGTGGCGCACGCCTGGGGACTAGCCAGAGGGAGCGGGGCGCGGGGGTGTGCATGCATCGCCCGCCTTCTTCTTGCAGCGCACACTGTACATGGTAGTGAGGGGGCGAGCAAAGGTGGCATCGGCCCCTTGGCTACTCCTGGGGTGGCTACGGCTCCTGCGCCGTCCTCCACCCCCCGCGTAGTGGCGACCACCGCGCCGGGATCCCGCCGCCGCTGTCCCCTCTCTCTGTCCACCGCCGCGGCCCCTAATTAGTATTTGTACGGTTCCCGCATCCTCTTGGCAGTTTCATCACTCCCGGTGTTTGCAGAGGTTTTTCTCATCCTTTCCCCAGATGCGGCGCACGATCGTCATTATTTGGAACTCTCTATCTCCGACATCCTTTAGGGGGCCTAGGGGGGGACAGGAGCAGCGTTGTTTTACGCCTGTGGCGTGTCCCGGCAGCCTGGCGGCTCTAAAATACTCAGAGAAAATCGCTTCTTCCCTCCCGGGCGCTGAAGATGTGGCAACACGGTAAGCATCACCGGGGTCTCTGAGACATCTGCTCCAGCGCGGGCGCAGGGCCCCGTCCAATGCACTTGTTTATTGTCGCGCCGCTGGTGCGAGCCAAGCTGCAGCAGACATGATGGGCCCGGGGCGAAGCGGGCGCTCGGTGGCCGATAGATGGCAGCCGAGGGCGAAGGCGTCCCTGGATTCGGGCGGCGCAATCGGAGCCCCCTTGGATGTCACATTCGTGGGAGACGAAGAGTCTTGGAACCTGTGCGTAACTCGAGCGTGGGACTGTGCAATCCTTGGATTGAAAAAGGGAGGAGTGGAAATAACCCCGACAGTGCCAGGCTTGTTGGTGGTCAGGGACAGATGATTCCAACCCTGTGCTGATCGCCTGCCTTCCTCCCACCATTTAGAATGATACTGCCCCTGCTTCTGCCTCTGTACTTAACTCTAAAGGACCCTGGAAGAGGGAGTGGTTCATCCTAGCTGCAAACAAGGGCGCTAATGCTTTTTTTTTTTTTTTCTTTAAGAATTACGTTTTATAGGTATGTCTGGGCGATGCAAGGGAATGTTAACGACTTTCAGAAAGAATGTTTGTGAATACATTTGGTGTGTACTAAAAAGCTGGAGACCCCTAAATAAATGCAATATCGATAGAAAGCGAGTTTCTTGAAGAGTCACCTGCTAAACTCCACTAGCATCATCTCTACAGTAAGTATTCCTTGCTCTTGCCTATGAAACCAGACACCTCCACCCTAGAGGGGGGTCTTTACATTCATAAGGCATATTTCCAGTGTTTGTAATACTTAGACCTGCAGTCCTTCCCAGGTATAGAAAAAAAGTTGATCATAATACGTGGCCCAATGGAGGCTGAGTGAACATGTGTCTGTTCGTATGATAACCGGGAAGTTTTACCATCTAAATAGATTTCATCTATTTTATTTTGGGATTAATTATGAATTAATGTTCTTTTGGGATCATCTTAAACATAATTGATATTGTCTCCTTCTTGGTAACGTTTGGGATGCTATTGTGGTTATAATATCTTGATTAAAGATAGGATTATAGAGATTCTGATATATATATATGTATATGTATATACATACACACACACACAAACATCTTTTCACATCCTCTCTCTGTGTTGAATTAGAAGGAGTTTTCTAGAGGTGGTGAATATTGCAGCCTCCTGAGGTTTTGCAG